GATTTATCTAAATCTACTAGCGATTCTTCACATCTGTTCATTATGCGATAAATTATTCCACGCTTACTTAATGCATCTGTATTGTTTGGATTAATGTCTAATGATCTATCTAAATCCGCTAGTGATTCTTCGTATCTATTCATCACCAGATAAGTTGCTCCGCGGTATGCTAATGCTTCTGCACTATTTGGATTAATTATTATTGATTTATTTAAATCCACTAGTGATTCCTCATATCTTTTCATTATGCGATAAGTTTCTCCACGGTATGCTAATGCTTCTGAATTATCAGGATTAATCTCTAATGATTTATTTAAATCTGCTAGCGATTCTTCATATCTATTCATCTTATGATAAGTTACTCCACGCTGATTTAATACTTCTACAGTGTTTGGACGAATTTCTAATGATTTATTTAAATCTGTTAATGATTCTTCGTAATTGTTCATCATACGATAAGTTACTCCACGCTCACTTAATACGTCTGCATCATTTGGATTAATTTCTAATGATTTATTTAAATCTGCTATTGATTCTTCGTATCTATCCATCTTGCGATAAGTTTCTCCACGCTGCCTTAATGCAAGTGCGTTATTTGGATTAATTTCTAATATTTTATTTAAATCGGTTAGTAATTCTTCGTATCTATCCATTACACGATAAATTTCACTGCGGTTTGCTAATGTCTCCGCATTATTTGGATTAAGTTCTAATGATTCATTTAAATCTGCTAGCGATTCTTCATATTTGGTCATCATGAAATAAGTCATTCCACGGTTTGCTAAAGTAAATGCATTGTTTTGATTAATTTCCAATGATTTATTTAAGTCGGCTAACGATTCTTCGTATCTGCCCATCATGCGATAGGTTTCTCCACGGTTTGTTAAAGTAAATGCATTATTTGGATTATTTTCCAATGATTTATTTAAATCTGCTAGTGATTCTTTGTATTTGCTCACCATGTAAAAAGCTACACCGCGAGATCCTAATGTGAATGCATTAATAGGATTCATTTTTAATGATTTATTTAAAACTGCTAATGATTCTTCGTATTTTTTCATCATAAGGTATGCTACTCCATGATATTCTAGTGCAAGTACATTATTAGTTTCTAATGATTTATTTAAATCTTCAGCTGCATAATTCGAATCAATCTCTAATAATTTGTTTAAATTTGTTAATGATTCTTCATGTCTGTTCATCTTAAAATATGTCATACAAAGGCTTTTTAATGCAAATGTGTTATTTGGATTAATTTCCAATGATTTATTTAAATCTGTTAGTGATTCCTCGTAATTGTTCATCATAAGACATGTTGCCCCACGGTATGCTAATATTTCTGCATTATTTGGATTAATTACTAATGATTCATTTAAATCTGCTAGTGATTCTTTATATCTGTTCATCATGTGATAAGTTATTCCACGTTCACTTAATGTGTCTGCATCATTTGCATTAATTTCTAATGATCTATTTAAATCTGCCAGTGATTCTTTATATCTGTCGATCATGCGATAAGTTGTTCCGCGCTCACTTAATGTGTCTGCATCATTTGGATTAATTTCCAATGATTTATTTAAATCTGCTAGTGATTTTTCATATTTATCCATCATACGATAAAGTTTTCCACGGGTTGATAATGCAAATGCGTTACCAGAACTAATCTTTAATGATTTATTTAAATCTGCTAGTGATTCTTTATATCTATTCATCTTGCAATAAGTTGCTCCACGCTCTGCTAATACAATTGCATTATTGGAATTAACTTCTAATGATTTATTCAAATCATCTAGCGATTCTTCATATCTGTTCATCTTGCGATAAGTTACTCCACGCTCTGCTAATATAGTTGCGCTATTTGGAATCATTTCTAATGATTTATTTAGATCAGCTAACGATTCTTCGTATTTGTTCATCATCCTATAAGTTATACCACGGCCTGCAAATGTAAATGCGTGATTTGGATTAATTTCTAATGATTTATTTAAGTCATCTAATGATTCTTCATATCTGTTCATCATGCGATAAGTCACTCCACGCTCCTTTAATGCGTCTGCATTATTTAAATTAAATTCTAATAATTTATTTAAATCTGCTAGTGATTCTTCGTATTTGTTCATTTTAAAATATACTGCACCACGGTTTTTTAACGCAAATACATTGCTTAAATTAATCTCTAATGATTTGTTTAAATCTGCTAGTGATTCCTCGTATCTATCCATCTTAAAATATGTTGCACCACGGTACGCTAATGCGAATGCGTTATTTAGATTAATTTCTAATGATTTATTTAAATCGACTAGTGATTCCTTGTATCTGTTCATCATAAAATAATTTGCTCCACGATATGCTAATGCAAATGAATTATTTGGATTAATTTCTAATGATTCATTTAAATCTGCTAGTGATTCATCATATCTGTTCATCATGAGGTAAGTTGCTCCACGTTCATTTAATGCGTTTGCATCATTTGGATTAGTTTCTAATGACTTATTTAAATCTGCTAGTAATTCTTCATATTTGTCCAACGTTAATGAATTATCTGGCTTAATCTCTAATGATTTATTAAAATCAGCTAATGATTCTTCATACCTATTCATCTTGCGATAAATTATTCCACGCTGCTTTAATACTTCTGCATTATTTGGACAAATTCCTAATGATTTATTTAAATCTGCTAGTGCTTCTTTGTACATGTTTATCATGCAATAAGTTACTCCACGCTCTGCTAATATAATTGCACTATTTGGATTAAGTTCCAATGATTTACTTAAATTTGCTAATGTTTCTTCGTATCTGTTCATCTTGCGATAAGTTAATCCACGCCGCTTTAGTGCTTGTATATTATTTGGACGGATTTCTAATAATTTATTTAAATCAGCCAGTGATTCTTCGTATCTGTCCATTAGGAAAAAAGTTGTACCACGGGATATTAAAGCAAATTCATTATTAGGAGTAATTTTCAATGATTTATTTAAATCTACTATTGATTCTTCGTATCTGTCCATCGTGCGATAAATTTCTCCACGATTTGCTAATGCTTCTGCATTATTTGGATTAATTTCTAATGATTTATTCAAATCTGCCAGTGATTCTTTATATCTGTCGATCATGCGATAAGTTACTCCGCGCTCACTTAATGCGTCTGCATCATTTGGATAAATTTCCAATGTTTTATTTAAATCTGCTAGTGATTCTTCATATTTATTCATCATCCTATAAGTTATTCCACGCTGCTTTAATGCCATTGCTAATGTTTTATTTGAATCTGATAGTGATTCTTCATGTCTGGCCTTCACTTGATTAGCTATTACACGCTGCTTTGATACTAGTGATAATGATTGATTTAAATCCGAGAGTGATTCTTTGTATTTGTTCATCATTCGATGAATTACTCCACGATCATTAAATGCGTCTGCATTATTTGGCTTAACTTTTATGGATTTATCTAAATTTGCTAATAATTCTTTATATTTATTCATCTTGCGATTAGTTTCTCCACGCTTATTTAATGCGTCTGCATTTTTGAAATCAAATTCTATTGAACTATTTGAGTCTGTTCGTGTTTTTTTGGGCCTATTCATCTTGCGATAAATTACTTTACGAATTGCAAATAAAAGTTTATTATTTAGATTAGTTATTTAAATCTGATAGTGTTAAAATGATATTAATAAATTAAGAAATATTTTTATGAATATTTAAAGAGAAGATTGTATCATTTTTATATTTTTACACCGTAGCTTAACCTCAATAAAGTGTAACGTAAATGCCTTATTAAAGTCGATAAGGAATCATGCCACTGGTGTTCAAACACTATAATTTTTTGTTATGAGCTGCAGCGTAATATGAAGATCGGGTGTAACATAAAGTTTTTGTTTATTTTTTAAAAATGATTATAACTCAAAAATTCATCTATGAAATGGTCTTTGAGGCTCTAACAAAAAAAATTCCTTGCAAGATTTTGGTAAAAACTATGTTCTTGCTCTATCCCAACCTTCAATTCTAACCTAATATTAATTAAAATTTAATTTTTGTTTAATAAAATTGTTTACACGGATATAAAGAAATTGTACAAAACATTGAAGATCCGTGTTTATTTAGGGATTTTAGTTTGAAAGATTTTGTATTCAACAGAAAGACACGCACGGGGCAAATTACGCCAAGCAGATAATCAAGTAGCACATTAAAATTAACATTTATTAAATTATCGACTTCAATGAAGTAGCTTACAATTTAAGGTTCAATGGACTATATTTTGTCTTTATAAGGTGCGATTGTTTAGATTTCCTGCAACATACGCACGTACGTACATAGCTTATTTCATGTTTCAAATTCAACAAAGCGATTATCTTTAATATTATTGGTTTATTATTTATGCGATACAAATTCATACCTTTTTTTGGTAACAATAATTAGACATGTATGTACAATATTAAGCGTAAATGATTATGCTGTGACTTGTATTGTATGCCGTAACTTTCGCCGTAACTTTTTTCCGTTATTAGTATGTACGTTGTTGTAATGTATATTAGTAAGTGATAATCATGAATTACAGAATTATAATTTATTTAGCATGAAAGAGCATTCTGCCAGTACGAATGTATTTAAGACAGACTTTGAGACCTTGATTGGTTGATTTGGAAGATCGTTTACTAAATTGACAATTTTTATTTAAGACACAAAAGTAGTTGTAATAATAATTTTGCAGTATAAGGTGAGTATGGGTATTATGGCGCAGTTAAATATGTTGATAAGAAACCTTTTTCAAATTGCTTCGAACATTTATAAAATTTTAGAGCTAAGTATAATTTGATTTGAATTAAGTCTTTTTCTTATTTTTAAAAAAAATTTTTTATCAAAAAAAAACTTTTTCTATATACATAAAATTTCTTCCAGAAACGTGATCTTCAAGGTAACGACCAAAAATGGCGCACATAGATAATCAGGTAGTACTGCTTTTTTTTTTCCAAGCCATTTTCCCTCTCTAATACGCTGTTGTTCTAACTTTGCACACTCTCTTTCTTCTTTTTTTTGCTTGGGAATTTCTTGTTTCTGTGCCTTCTCCACTCCTTTGCTATTTGTTTTTGGATGGCAATCTCTTTTTTTTCTTTTTTTTCATTAGCAACTCTTTCTGCATCTTCCTCCACTTCCCTCAACAAACACAATGACTCTTCACTCGTAAGAAGCCAGGAGAAAGGCATGGTCTTCCATTTTTTCTTGGGCTGCTGAATTTCGGGCTGCACTTTATTTACCTCCAGATCTTCAACCTGCTTCGAATGCTGCTGCAGAGGATATTTAAGCACCAGCCACAAAGGACTGGTACCTGGATTTTTATAAAGCTCCAGATCTGTTTCTAAATGTTCAACTTTCTAATTAAGTGATTTTATTTCTGTTCACAATTTTTTATTTGTAGAGGTCGGGCAGAGGCAATTTGGTACTTAATTAGGTAAAGACAAAAGTGAAGATAGTGTAACAAGTAGATGAATTGGTTGCTCAGAATTTGGTAGGTCGAAGTTATGTGTTGCCATTGAGGGTTCAAGATGGCTAGGGCTAATGGCATTGGGATTAAATAGCCATATTCCCATTGTCTTGAAAGCATTACATAAAGTGGTAGGGTGTATGCTTTAATATCCCTTAAACCGTCCCAATAAGGTGTTCAAATTTGAACTCTAAATTTAAATAGAGCTTTGTAAAAAAGTTATTCTGCCAAATTTTTATTCTAATTGGCTACAGAGACTCTCAAAGAATCAAGCCACATGACACAAATTATAGCTGCAGTGCGGCAACCCAAACAAAGCACACAAACTCACGTGATAGCTATAAATTTAAGCATTCAAATATGGATGCTTGACGGTTTAAGGGATAAGCCTGCCTAAAGAGTTTAGCAAATGTATATTTTGTTATTAGCTTGTCGTCAATAGTAGAAAACTTATTACATTCACTGTCATATGCTTGTTTGAGTTGAGCAAATGGTAGTTCAGCAGGTTGTAGGACATGGGTGGTGTGTGGTGGAAGAGTATAGAGAAGAATATTATTTTTATAACAGAAGTTGATACAAGTATAATTGACATAGCTCTTGTGCCTGTCAAGAATTAGTAAAACAGGGTGCATGGGAGGAATAGAATTAACAAAATATTTTATGTATTTTTTAAAGTCTCTCCCATATATATCCCGTATTAGTAAACCCCATAACAGTACCTGCAGGTGCGCCATCTGAAAGACCTGGAATCACCTGTATACTTTTGTATATCATTAATAGTGGTATATATGTTCTGGCAGCTGAAATAGTGGGCATACAGAAATATGTTCACGATTGCTGCCATGTGAAACTCGATGAACCTGATATACCTCTTTTTTTGCAATGACTTTTTGAAGTCTAGATTCAATACCGAAATCTGCCTTATGCAAATAAATGGCAACTTATGTCACCTATAATGATCCAGTTACAAAAGAAAAAAAAAAGATCAAAAAAAATCAAAAAAAAAAAAAATTGAAAAAAAGAAAAAAAAAAGAAAAAGGACCTGTCTAATTCATGTTCCAAATCCAATCAGAGGTAAGTGAATATTCATTAATAATTTTTTCAAGTTTATTAAAATGATTTTTAATTATAATAGGATTTGCTTTTTGGGCACATGCTTCATTTAGAACTTGCAGAACACAAAATGAAAGTTCAGGTAATCTTTTAGAAACTGTTTTTACCATGATTGATCTGGTCTATTTTTATTAAAAAGATGTAGATGCCTATTTCTACAAACAATTTCTATTACACAATAATTTATACCAGATCTTGATAACTCAAAACCCAGTTGTAGCATATTCAGACAATAACTAACCAATTGCTCTTTTTCATAGTCAGTTAGAACTTTATTAGGGCCTGGACGTTTGAGAAGACCATCATTTTTTATAACTTGTCTAAGAGTTGTTTCTGGAATATCAAAGTCTTGTGCAATACTTCTTATATTTGGGGCTTTAGCATTATTTAATGAATTTTTTATAGCCTTAAGGGCTTTTTTAATAGCATCATTTCAAATAGCTTTATCTTTATTAAGCGATATAATGAACAGTTTTTTTTTATTTTTAATTTTTTTTTTATTATAAACTTTAATAAAGTGGTTATTTTTTGTCACATGTAAAAAGTAAACTGCAGTTCAAACATGAGTTAAGAGATTTACTTATTTATATGAAACTAATGTGATTTATTTGTAACACTGCCCGATTGTTATAAATAGCGAAAATGCATAAACTTTAATTGCCATAATATGAATTATGCGATATATTTACATCCTGGCTTTCATGCGATACAAATCTATGGTGATTTATATCCTAAAAATAAATTCTTTAAAACATCAAAGGTAATTACAGATTCCAAAGATTCGGGTATAGAAAATTCTTTAATTCAAGTAGTACTTTAAAATAAGAATTAAAAGAGCTAGAAAAACTTTGTAGACCACAGGTAACAGTAATGTTAAATGACCTGAAATAACCAAATGTACACCAAAGGTCACTTGGTTATTTAAAAAAGCAAAAAAAAAATTTTTTTAATAAACATAACTTATATTCTTTGCGAAACTCATAAAAATGTTAATAACTATCACTTTAGTGGCAATATCTTGTGATCCAGTGATCGGAATTGTATGATTTTGGTACCAATTGATTCGTCTCGGTGAAACGAATCGGATGGTACTAAAATCACTTAGTTCTGATTAACAGGTTACGAGATATTAAACCTATGCCATAATTGGTAGTGCATCATAATATTCATATTCACTTTAGTTCTTTAAAGTTTGCATTTTCTTATCTATTATAAAATTTTTATAATTGATTTTCTGAAGATTTTTCTTTTTTCAAATTCATTCAGATAGGATATCCATTTCTACTGGATATTCGTTGACAAATATCCATGCTCAAAAAGGTCATTCAAATATTTGTAAATATTACAAATATCCAATTAGAAATGCATTGACCAATAATTTTATTCTCATTACAGTAAATCAGATCTCTATATACTCTATATAATCATCCCAAAAGTTATTCAGAAAATTTTATTGTTCGAATCTACCATTTATAAACAAAATGTAACATTTAAATATCTGTATAATCCCTGAATATTCAGATGTTTAACCAAACAAATCTCACAAGAGTGTACAAAAATGAATTTAGGGTTATAAGTATAAATTCAAAAGGTTATAACAAAAAATTTAGAAGCTACATCTTCAGTACTATATACCAAAGTAATTTGGTAATTTATAAGTTAAATAAGAAATATATTTAGAGTTTTAATATAACCAAAATAATTTGCAATATAAATTTAGTAAATTCAAAAGGTTTACAATATTAATTTAATTTTTTTTTTAAAAAAAATAAATATATACTGCTAGTAAATAGATTAATAACATGAAGTAGTAAAAGCATAAGCTTATGAACTTTATAAAGAATTAAAATATAATATTATATTAAAGCATAATATTATGTTCAAAATTATTTAATATTAATTAACTATTATTATATACAATCAAAAATTATTTATATTGTTTTTAGTTTTTTAAAATAAATATTTTATATTTATTATAAAAAGGATATTTTATATGGTAGAATAACTATAAGCAGTATTATATAGTAATTGTTTATTAATATTATAAAAATCAATTAATATTAATAATTCTTTTTAGCATTATAATATGTATTTGGATTATATATTATAGCAATTGTTACAGATGATTAGTATATTTAATAGTTTATAATTTTTTTTTTACATTACTTGAACAGTCTTGTCAATAAACTTTATTTATATACTGTATGTAGCTAAGATTAGTTTAATAAATTTACAGTTTTAATATTCTGCAATTACTTCTAAAGAGCACCTATGAGTGATTTGCCTGCACTTAGCCTAGCAGTTTAAACTAAAATCTATATCTATCAGAAGGGTTACATCAAACTACTGCTCTACAGTAGAATATCACCAATTCGATGATATCTTTCTATAAACAAGTAAAGTAATAAAAAAAACTATATTATAAAAAAAAAATATAAATATACATAAAAAAAAAAATAAAAACATAACAAAAAAGGAAAAAATGAGCCTTAGTAGGATCTAGAATCTGATAGTCACAGTTATAAGTCTGTATTAGCCTTTTAAAAATTATAAACTATACTAAATAAAAACCTTTAATATTTACTATTTACTAGTTTATTTAAATAAAAAGACTATAAAAAAAAATATAAGAAATAGCAATAAATAAAATATCAAAATAAAATACTTTAGTTCAAAGATAGTGTTTAATAGTTTTTAGTAGTTCAGCTGTATTATATTTGTTATTTTGCTATATGGTCTAAATTAAAAGGTTGTTTAAAGCCTGTCACCTTATAAAAGTATCCAAATTACAGAAAATTATAGAAGTTAAAATTCTAATTTTTTTGATAATTTAAGTAAAATTTATAGCAACTTTTTTTTTAGAAGAAATTTTTTCTATTTTTTTATAGAAACTTTTTTTTTTATATATAATAAGTAAGAAATTAATAAGACTTTTTTTTCTTATTATTGTTATAAATGTTTTAAATATTTTACTTACTGTAATAATATAATATAATAAGTAGTACTGTAGCTTGTAGTTGTAAATTGTAATACTAATATATAGATTAATAAATTATTGTGTTTTGCAGATTTTTTTTTTGATTTTTTTTTAATATAGTAAATAATTTTATTAAAAGTAAAAAAATGTGTTTAAGAAAATGAAGATAAAAAATTTTGGTAAAAATAAAAAATCTGGATTTGAAGAAATAAAATAGCTATATTAGAGAATAGTAAAAAGAAAATTAAAATACAAGTAATATTTGCAGTTGATAAAGCATTTATAATATATAAAAGGTTCATATTTTATATATTATAATTTACAACTTTTGATTAAAGGTGAGTTCTTTTCTTTAATATTAATAAACTATTTGAAATATCAATGAATGAATTTGATAACAAATAGTAACTATTAATTATAAATATGTAGTCATGATTTAGTTATAAAAACTACAATAATATAATCAAACCTCTCTAAATACATATTCTCTAATTGCATAGTCTCTCTAAATGCATAGTCGTGCATAATTCCAACTCATATAACACTTATAGATTTTTGCCTCTATAAATGCAATATCTCTCTAAATACAAGATTTTTTGGGCACTCAATACTATATATTTAGAGAGATCTGACTGTAGTAATTTTTAAAAGATATTTGCATGTCAGTTTTTAAAACAGAATTATTCTAGTTAAAATAAAAAAAATTCTTATTGAAAAGTGTCAAAAAATAAAGATCTATCCAATTCTTGCTTTGCAAAAATCTGGATATTATGTTTAGTTAATGCACAAAAAGTGCAATTAGAATAAAATAATGAAAGTTTTGATAATATACGCACACTTGATAAAAATAAAAAGCTAAAGCACTTAAAAGTAGTACAAAATTAGTTAAAAAAGAAGTGGCTAAAAACTATTTACTTTCTGCTATTATAAATATAGTTAAAAAATATATAATTAGAATATTGGATTTGAGCTTAAATATTATAAAACTAAAATATACTAAGATTACAAACATTAAA